TCATCAAGATTCGCTGCTAGATCGATACTAACTATGCCTTTCTTCATGGTTGCACTCTGAACCGTTTAATTCACATCGGATTACTTCGACTGTACAGAGTAGTAGATCAACGATCAGGCGAGAAAAGCATGTTTGTTTTTTTTTACTCTACAAAAATGTCTATAGACATATGAAGATTTTGGAAAGCAAATAATAGATAATTTGAAATGAACAGAAAGATTCGATGTTCGACGAGTAGGATGTGGATGTGAATGTGGCTTTAGCTCAAGAAGAAGTCCACACCCACATCCACACATCAAAGTATCATTAAAAACTGATGATTTATTGCGTTTCAGTTCACGATTATCGTTTCTGTATATCGCAATTGATCGTCAGTTTTTCAGCGATATCTAGAACATGGGTGGGTATGGGTGTATATATATCGATTTAGAGAAGGTCACACTAACACCCACACCGCAGAGAAACAAATAATAAATACGAGAGAAAAAAATGAAAGATTATTACACAACTATTGTAGCTTCGGATCTGGAAGCATTTTCGTTCCGGTTGTGTGTGATTTCTGCATGACTTTCATCATACGTTGCACACATTTTTATGTCAAACATATTTGCAGCTGATACAAAAACTTACTGACGAACACATACGGAATTAATGACAAACTTAACTGGATATTCGCTGATATCGAAATGATAAAGAGTTAAAAACAACTTGATTCATCTAGCGAAATGGATGGGATTTTTATATAGTTATAGTAATCATTTCAACGTCACCTGATGGTTTGTTTTTAAGTTATAATATGTCGTTCTTTACTTTCTTCTTTCAAAGAGAAAGAACAGGATATGTGGGGGTGTGTCTTCCGTTCTAACACACCCACTAAAATCTTTAGATATGCGGCACAGTTTCGACTATGTCTATGTAAACAATATGAAGTTTGAAATAGAGAAAAGGAAGTGTTATAAGATCACTAAGGATTATCAGCTTCCAAACTCAAAATTGATTAGAAACTGAGTCTAAAGGTGGCGTGAGTCAAATATATATGTAGATATAGTAAAACGTTGGTCTGACCTGTGTCTCAGAGAATCCTCAGCTCACTTATTGAATGAATTAATATTTCGAATTAAAATCATCTATTCTGATTTTGATATAAAATAACGAATTTCATACTAGAAAGATCCAATAGCATCATCGTTTTTTGTTCATCAAAGTGATTTAATTGTTTGTTGAAATACGAACGATAAAAGGTGTATTATTTTCAACGAACATATTTTTAATGAGAATTCATTCATTCGTTTTAACCAAAATTTTTCTCAAACCGTCTTATTCATAAGTATACCTAAATAAACAGATACGATGAATAACACTAAAATGTATTAAGATAAAGAAAATGGAACTTAACATAATCTATTATCGTTTATATTTGCACTGTTATAATCCTGGAAATCTAGAACATTACTATAACGCATTGAAAGAAACTCGGTAATAATCGGAAATGATGTAACTTTACTCAGTTTCACAAGAAAGACTTTAAAATCTAGTAGTATTTTTCTAAGAAACTCTTTTTTAATATTTACACCTCTAAAAATTGTAGGAGTTTGCATATGGCTTAAAAGTTCATTCGTACTTGAAAAACTTTTTTATTGGAGCTTGTAAGGGTGTGAATGTGAATGTGTTTCTTTTGTTTTTACAACTACACCCACACGCATTCCGTCACCCTACACTCTCAAGATCACATCAAATTGAGAATGGTAATAAAAGAGAGACTATTTCAAGCAAATTTCGGTGGATATAGATGTAAAATTTACAAAGTTCTCTCTATGATGAATATCACCTTTTCAATACTATTTCACGTTTTTTTATCTCTTGTTATTGCACAACTAAACTGCAAGTTTTAGTTCTTTCTATTTTATATATAAACGTCTTGCAATAATATCAACAAAATAAAAACGAATGTCCGCATTAAATCAACGCTTGTTCCAATTAGCACATGCTAATAGACATCCAGATGATCGTTTTGATTATATCGTAAAATATTATTTTCTACGTGCCTCAACACTTCACCAAGCACATGTCTACGTTACACTCTATAGCTATCGAATATCACCAGAATTTTATGAAGATGGTGATGAAGTGAAGGATATTGTACATCCACCATATGTGATAGAACATGAACAAAATCGCAAAGTCGAAGAATATGAACAGATGAATGAAGGATGTTCATATGGTGAACATTATTGGCATTCGATTAAGGAAATTGATACAAATAAATATGATGGTGGAATCATTGAGGTAAATGCTGGAAGTCAGTTATTCAAATTATCAATTCAATTTAAATATCCTTGTATTCATTTACAACAACAAGAACAACTACGAACAGAAAATGATCCTTATTCTTATCCTTATAAATATAATATGTATCAATATGAACAAAATAAGTATATTTATCAATTAAGAGCAACGAACAAAGACGATGTATTACAATATTTATGGCAACATTTAGAACAATTCAATTTGGCTTTGGAAATTTTATTAAATCAGTTCAACAGATCATCTTTAGATGATATAAAGACATGGGACGAACTTACTCTACTATGTGAACAAACGGTGAAATGTATTATCGATAATGAAAGTGAAATACAACATGAAAAGATAATATTTAGTTTAGACACAATCACTGAACAAATTATAACGCATAATTGTGAAATGTAACTAACTCAATGATAGAAGACCTGATCTAAAAACTTTTAATATATTCTATCGAGAACGACAGTTGCAGTTTTTTTTTTCAGCTGTTTCAATTCTTTTTTTTTACAAATATATTGAGTCGTGTGATTTACCACGATTAATATCAGATATAGCATTGTATCGGTCTATAGTACTATGCGGGTTTGAAATTTGGAACCCACACCTGATCCGAGAGATTAAATTCGTTTATTTTCTAAAGATATATCAGTTTAGTTCAATGTTAACCATAAAAAAATCTGTTAGCGCAATCCCTTGCGGGATTAAAAATGTGAAACACGATGTAGCTGCTATAGCCAATGTTCTAAAAGCTGCTGTTTTTTATGCATATTGGCGTACATTTCTTCATCATGCCTTACCTTACATTACAGGGCTTGAACAGGATAATACTACATATATGCTCCAATCATATATTAGCTATGCATTATCTCTGATATTTCATTGAAGCTTTCCATCACAGTCTATGATGACTCTTGAAGCTCATCTATTAGAGTCTATGATAGGTTCAAAGCCCTGTCAATCACGGTCTGTGATGGGTCTAGAGCTTGTCTGTTACAGTCTGTGATAGGTTCAAAGCCCTGTCTGTCACGGTCTGTGATGGGTCTAGAGCCTTTCTGTCACGGTCTGTGATGGGTCTAGAGCAGTGGCGTAGCCAGGATTTTGGGCTAGGGGGGG